GGGTCATCCGGCTGGGCCATCCAGGGGTCTTCCATCTGGGGGTACTGAGCCCCTAGAGAACTCTTCCCCTCGTCTGGATGGGGAAGGTCTGGCGGCAGCATCTGAGAGTTGGCCGGGGCAGGGGTATGGTCTCAGCGTCTCATGCACACGTCTACAAATCCCACCCACTGGCTAGGACCCCCGGTCCAGAGGCTGAGTCTTACGTCTCCAGTAAATCTCCAGTCTGTGCCTCATGAAGAAGGAAGGGGGACCTGTGAGGCTCCGCCAGTGAGCAGGGGGTCAGGGAGCTGCCTGGGTATTCAATAAATTCAGAAAACTCTTTCTTTTAGTCACCCTTCCTCTCTCCAGTGGAGAGCTACTGCATGCTTTCAACCCCAGAGCTTTTAGGGATCCTATGGGATAAACCAAGTTAGCTCTTGTTGTTGTTGTTGTTATGTGCCGTCGAGTCGGCCCCGACTCATAGCGACCCCTCCTTGGGTTTCCGAGGCAGTATCACTACGGAAGTAGGATTGCCCAACCTTCCTTCCGAGGAGTGGCTGGTGGGTTTGAACCGCCAGCCATCTGGTTAGCAGGCAAGTGTCTTAGCCACTATGCTACCAGAGCTCCCAGTTTTCACTAATACAGGAGGGGCCATTCCCTCACCGTCTGCTTTGCAGGTCAAGCCCTACAATGGCCCCTTTGCTGTCTGAACAGTTCGGGAGGCACTGAGGGCAGATGGTGTGTTCCGCCTGCAGTCTATTCAGAAGCCCACAGTAACCTGGTCCCAGCTACACCTAACCCGCGCTGGCTTCCAGAGCCGCCTGGCTCTCCCCACACACGCTCCTCTCCTCACACACGCACTCTTCTCATACGTGTGCCTCTCCTCACGTGTGCTTTTGTCACAATTCCTCTTCTCAAATGTGCCCCCTTTCACACATGCCTTTCTCCTCACACGCACCCTCCTCTCTTCTCATGCTCCTCTCCTCACAAGCGCCCCTCTCCTAACATGCCCCTCCTCACACGTGCCCCTCACACGTGCCCCTCTCCTCACACGTGCCCACCTCACATACTTTTCTCCTCACATGTGATCTGACCCCCTCCTCACATGCTCTTCTCACACGTGCACTGCACCCCTCTTCTCACATGCACACCCCTCTTCACACGCGCCCTCCTCTCCTCACACACACCTCTCTCCTCACACGTGGCCCTCTCCTCACAGGCGCATCTCTCTCCTGACACACGCCCCTCTCCTGACACATGCTCCTTTCCTCACACGCGCCCCCCTCTTCTCACACACGCCCTCCTCTCACATGTGCCCTCCTCACACATGCTCTTCTCACATGAGCCCTCCTCTCCTCACACGTGCCCCCTCCTCACATACGCCCCTCACACATGCTCTTCTCCTTACAAGTGCCCTCCTCTCCTCACATGCACTCCTCCTCACACGCGCCCCCCTCTCCTCACACGCGCCCCTCTCCTCTCGCCGGCCTGGCTCCCAGTTCCTCTCACTTGGAATGCCTCCCCAGGTCTCCTCATCTGCTCCCTGCCCCACCTCCCAAGGCTAGAAGGGATGCGGCCTCCCTGTGAGGAAGCACCCGGCGTGGTCAAGGACCCATGGCCCACCCTCTGACCCCTCATCCAGGGCTCACTTCTTGCTCCACCATCTTCATCCACCTTTTCTTCCTCTTCCCAGGACTTGCTCTGAGGCGTAAGTGCTGCACCCCAGCGGTGAGATCCCGCAGCTCTGACGTGACCTCATTCTCTGGGCTCCGGCAGCAGGTGAGCGTCCCTCCTCAGGAGGAGTCTGGTCTCTGGCATCTGGGGGCACCCTCCTCCCCACCCTGCGACCGTGGCACCCCTTCCTCATCTTTCTGGATTACCACACGGCCCCTCCCACGTGCCTCCTGTCCCTTGCCCTGGGACTGCTGTGGCTGGAGCGGCTGCAGCGGCACTGGGGACCATCTCGGCTTTCCCTCACTCCTTTACGCTTCACCGTGTCCTGTGACCCGTTCACTGGAGACGGGCCCACCCTATCTGGCGGTCGCCCGACAGCAGGGACACTGTAGGTCACGGGTGTGGCCTCACAGCTAGAACATGGCTGCAGGTAGCACATGCTAAGTTGATAAATGAAACAAAGGTCAGGCCGTGTCACAGTTCTCACTGAAAACCTCCAGGACTTTGCATGGCCTGGCGCGTGACGGCCTGGCGCGTGACGTCCCAATTTCTAGCCCAGCGTTGCCTTCCCGTCCTCTCTGCGCTTGGTGACCTTGGGCTCCCAGGCCTTGTGTTTATCTCAATCGCCCTCCCTCCTCAGGCCCTCACCACTGGGCCCTCAGCCTGTCCCACCTTCACTTGGACCCAGGAAGCCTACACTTGCCCTCCACGGCTGGAACAGTCTCTCGTCTTTGACCTTTGCAATGCAATCGCAATGTACTGCCACGGAATCGGATCCGATTCATAGCGACCCCTCCTTGGGTTTCTCAGGTGGTTGAAGATTGCCCAACCTTCCTTCCGAGGAGTGGCGGGTGGGTTTGAACCACCAGCCCTCTAATTAGCAGTCAAGTGCCTTAGACATTATGCTACCAGAGCTCCTAAGAATGAAGACCTTTGCGGGTGGTACCAGTTCTACCCTGGCCACGTAGGGACATTATTTACCTCTGTGCCCCACCCCCAGGTGACCTCAAGAAAGTCCCCGCAGAGCAGAAACGACAGCCCTGCCCTGGGCGGCTGAGCTGGGCCAGCACATGGCTGCTGTGGGGCAGCAGGGAGAATGAACGAGCTCTCCTCATTGCCTCACTGCCTCCTGTCCCCTCAGAGTGGGGCTGCGGAGGGGTGGTCTCCCTCCCTGGACACAAGGCCACTGTCCCGCCAACGCCCTGCACAGACTTGATGATGTCGACTGAGGGAATGGAGGGGAAAGAGTCCACTTTAGCTGAGTGGGAGGAAGGCTGAGGCCACTGCTTTGAGTCTGTGGGGTCGTGGGGTGTGGTGGGGAACAGCACTTGAATCCTGGTCCTGGCTGGGCAACCACCATGTCACCTGCCTCCTTCCTGGGAGCAGTTCCCAGTGGCCTGATGGGGTGGACTCAGGGTTGCCCTGGCCCCATGGCTCCAGGTGCCCCATGTCCTGGAGGCATCAGTGAGGGGCATCTGTCTGGGGAAGTTCCAAGCCCAGCACCTGCCATTCAAGCAAGTACAGACAGTAAAGACCTTCTGTGGTGACCGGCCCAGGGGAGCTGGGACAGCAGGGAGGGGGCGTCTGTACATGCTGGCTAAAAGGACCCCAGCCCTCTTGACCTTCTGCTCCCTGAGGGGCCCCATGCCATGGGGGCTCTGCTCCACCCCAGGGAGCAGGGAGTGCCTGGGCCTGTGGGGCTGAGAACATGGCTGCTACTCCTCAGGGACTAACAGCAGGGTGGGTGGGTGGTGCTCGGGGGACAGGGCCAGCTGTCTGTCCTTGGGACTCTCGGTCAGGCAGCTAGGCCAGGAAGCACCCAGAGCCTTGTCCCTCACCCAAATACACCACGAGGCCCACCCATCTTCCTTTCTAGGAACTTGGTTCCAGGAGAAGGCTCTGGTGGCAGGAGAGGGGATGGTGGCCCTGGGACACCTGGGGCTGGCAGCACGGGCAGGATAAGTATGGTTGGGGGGCCTGAGGGGCCAGAGGAAGGAAAAGGAACTGAGGACAGGAACAATGATGCCTTTTCCCTTCCTCACAGCCCCAGCCTGGAGGTGGGTGGAGGACGGACGGCAGCCTGAGGGACAACCGTAATCACTGAAGTCTCTCCTGACAGAGGTTCCGTGATGCATTTTTCTTTGAAGAAGGTCCACTGTAACCGGAGTCAATGAGCTCGCTAATGCTCAGCGCCCAGGACGCAGCGCAGTGACCGGGCCCTTTGTCACAGAGGCGCTGCTCAACTGTCTGCAGCTCTCAGGGAGGCCGGCTGTGGGGCACAGGCCGAGGAGAGGCCGGCTGTGGGGCACAGGCTGAGGAGAGGCCGGCTGTGGGGCACAGGCTGAGGAGAGGCCGGCTGTGGGGCACAGGCTGAGGAGGGGCCGGCTCGGGGAGAGCTGCCCAGCGGCCCGGCCTCTCTGTCCCTGGGTTGTAGGATGGTTGGAGGTGGGGGGGGTGCAGGACGCTGGCAGGTGTCTAGGCCCAGCGGGGCCACCTGGAGCCCGTTTCCCTCCCGGGTTGGAGAGGCCAAGTTGAGCATCCTCCCCACCTCCAGCAGGGTCTGGCATCGCTTGTCCTCAGCTCCTTCTTGCTACCAGGGCACAGAGATTGGGGCTGGAGGCACTGAGGTGCCATGGGGGGAGGGAGCCGTGTCCACGGTGGCACAGAGCTGGGGTCTAGGGACTGGGGGTGAGGGTGCTTTCAGGACCCACGAGCCACCCCCTCCCATGGCCACATGGGGCCAGGAGGCAGCGAGTGGTGGGGGTGCGATGGCCCCAGCTACAGCGCGGGGTGAGCGCGAGCCCCTTTCCTGCATACTAATTATGTTTTTAATCAGCCAGAACGAGGCGCAGTCTGCGTGGGGACGGCTCTGAATCATGGTGGAGCTGACAGGACAGGCTAGGATGGTGACCCCAGAAGTAGCAAGCAGGGCTGCAGACTGAGCCCTCGGTGGTGAGCGGTGGGAGCCTGGTCCCTACCCCGGGTGCAGGGGGCACTCAGCCGGGCCTCCGCGTGGCACCCACATTCCACATATCACTTCACACTTCATTTTATTCCATGATGCTGATCTCCTGGGCAGGAAAGGCCTGGGGAAGGGGGCTGGCCTCTGAGGATCACATCCCTCTGTGGCTGGGTGAGCACTGGCTGGGCCCCCGGCCCTCTGGTCCAGCCCTACACACGTTCCTCCAGTTCGTTTAAAAACTGAGCTGGAAAAGTAAAATAAAATGAAAAAATAAAAATAAAAACAAACCCCTGAGTTGTTAAAAACCAAACAACGTAAAAATCCCCTTTGGTGTCAGAAGGTCCTCTTGGTAAGAGCCAGCAGGGTGGGTGGGCGGCTGGCAGGCTCAGGCCTCCGGGTCGCTGTCGGACTCCTCCTCCTCCCACAGGCCTGGGGCGCTCTCGGAGCTCGGCCGCTTCAGGATGGCACTATATTTGAGGGCAGCGGCCTCGGCCTGCAGCACCACCTCCACCAGGCTGAAGATGGTGATGACCTGCGGCAGAGCAGGGCCCCTAGTGAGACGGGCCTGAGGGGACAGGATGGGCGGGCCTGTCCCCAGAGCCCAGCTCTGCCGCTGCGGTCTAGCTGTGCAGTGAGGACACCGTGGGACCCACTCAGCCTCCGTTTGCTGCCCTGTGAGCTGGGCCTGCTCCAGGGATGATGCCCGGGGCCGGTGAGAACTAATGGGGCAGGGGACACACAGGCAAGGGCTTTGGTGCAGCCTGGCGTACAGCGATGCTCACAGATGGCAGGTGACAACCTGAGGTTGGCTCGGCCTTCAGAGCACATTGTAGGGAAGATGGTTAGAGACGGTTTCTTGGAAACAAGGTCCGGAACTTTCATCAGATTCTCAAAAGGACCCCAATAGTTAAGACCCTCGCTTTGGAGGGAGAAATAAAGACCCACCTCTCCTCAGGGGTGTCCCCAGGGGAGGAAAGGGGTGGCAGAAAGTAGGGGCCCAGAGGAGACGGTTCTGGTGACAGTTGCCAGAGTCTGCAGTGGCTGGGAGGGGCTGGGTGAGAGATGGCAGACATGTGGAGTGTGCCCAGGGGATGGGAGGAGTTACCCGAATTGGGGTGAACACGGACACAGGGTGTCGGGAAAAGCTGCGCCCTCCACACCCGCAGGGCCTGACCTGGCGCACTGGCTCCTGTTCCACGTCCTGGGGCTCCCAGACGAGCGTGAGCTCTGGCTTCTTGCCCACCTTCTGGAAGTGATGGCTCCGCAGGGGCAGTGCCTGGGGTACACACAACAGCACCCTGTTGGGCCCTGGGTGCCACCCCAGACCCCCTGGCCCAGCAAGTCCGGTGGCCTGCAGCGGCCCTGTGCCTGGCCCACCCGTGCCAGGCCTGCTGCGCCATCTTGGGCAGGCCACGTCCCTGCCAACTCCCCCCACCTCTGGCCATGTCAGGAGGCCCCAGCTGGGACACCAGAGGTGAGTCAGGGCCTGAGATGACCAAGCACCAAGGGACAGAGGCTGAGGTGTTATGGGGTGGGGTGGAGGCGGTCTGCCTGAGCAGGCCTGGGGCAGAGAGCAGGACGCAGTGAGGCTGGAGGCTGCTGCCCCCTGCTGGTGCTGGGCCTGTGCGCACCAGGGGACAAGAACCCTGACAAATTCTGGTGGGCTGGGCTCTTCTTCTCTCTGCTCCATTTTATCACACCACGGTTATCCCAAGTAACGTGCTGGCTCTGTCCGCCCCTAAGGGCCTTGGGCATGTGGAAATTCAGAGCCAGGGCAGGGACTGGGTGGTGCACCTGCTAACCACAGGCACCAACTCCCTTGGAAATGACCTTAAACAAATGTGCCCATGGGGCAGTACGTACCACAGGACTGACTGGTCCCTTCCTTGTAGGAAGGTGTCTCCAGAGCAGCCACGGGCCACTCTCAGCTGACCTCCAACAAACGTCCTGGCAGCTTCCCTGCCCGCTGCCACGGACAGTCATGACTGAGGGGCCGTGGGGATGAGGCCCAAGCCTGGTCCTGGTCCTGCAGCACCCCCCCCCCCACCAGGCAGACGTGGTGCTGGGGGCGGGAGCAGGGCAGGGCAGCCATGTCGGGGGCTGCTCACAGCTGAGCGAGGGGTGCACTGTCACCCCACCACTTGTAAACCTCCAGTGAGGGCGATGCTGCCACCCTGCCTGCCACCCCATGCTGCAGAGGCGTGCCCGTGTGTGTGTGTGTCGGGGGGGCAGGGGCACTGGCATGTGCTAAGTTCTGGGAGGCTAGACTATGGATGTCTGAGAGGACGGCTTTCCGTAGTGGCTGGCCTGGCCTGTGTCTTGCTTCCAAGGGGAGCCCCAGGAAGACACCCCGCCACCTGGCACTCACGTTGCAGTAGATGCGCTTCTGCACCCCGTAGCGCAGCACTAGCACATCGAAAGCTTGGTTCAGGACACCCATCACCATGGCTTCTGACTCCAGGGGGCCACTCTCCTGTAGGGTGGTGGGCAGCTGCTAGGCCACAGGCCTGGGCAAGGCTCTTCCCAAGCCCACCCAGATGCCCATGGCCCTGGGATCCTGGGGTCAGTGCTGGGAGGAAGGTAAGGGGCTTGGGGGGGACAGAGCAGTGGCTGCACCTTGACCAGGATGGCGAAGAAGAGGCCGGTGCTGAGCTCCTGCACGCGCTTGGACACCATGCGGCGGTCATTGCAGTGGTCGGCCTGCTTCTGCAGGACGTCGGGCTCCAGGTCTGGCAGCGCCCTGTAGCCTGAGGAGAGGGGGTTGGACCCCACTGATGGGTGCTCTATGTGTGTGAGGCTAGATGAGGGTCCCTGCCGCCCCGGCCTAGGGCCAGGTGGGGCCCGGGAGGCCCAGGCAGACAAACCCCCAGAGTGCATGCTCCAGGCCCCGGCTGCCCATCCTGCAGGGCCTCCAGCATGCGTCCTTACCGAGTGCGGCAGCCATGAGGCGGTGTACCAGGATGTCGGGGAAACGGCGGATGGGGGACGTGAAGTGTGTGTAGAGTGGCATATTGAGGGCGTAGTGCCAGAACTGGGCGCGGTCCTGTAGCACCCCCGAGCAGAAGTACAGCGCCATCTGGGGGCAGGGTAGGTCTCAGGGCCACGCGGGCAGCTGGGGTTTGTCCACGGAGGAGCCCCATCCTCCCAGTGGGTGCTGGGCAGGGACTGGCCCATAGGCCGCAGGCAGCTGAGCCCAGCCAGCTGGGCCTGAGTAGGCAGGGCCCTTCTTGTTGAGAGCAGCCAGGGGCTGCCAGGAGACCAGATGAAGCCAAGCAAGGGCTGCTCCCAGCCCTCTCTGCTGGAGGCAGGTGCAGCCTCCCTGCAAGGGTCCAATCTGCCTCTGCTGAGGACAGAAGGACCCCCAAGATACTGGACTGGGTGTGGGTGGATTGGCCTCACTTGGTCCTGGGGTGGGGGTGGGTCAGGTGGGGTCCGGTAGCACCCTGTGGCATGAGGACAGGGGGCTGGATCCCACTGTCAGGTGGTCTATGTGTGTGTAGCTAGGTGAGGGTCCCTGCTGCCCCTACACCCACACCCTGACACTTTCACACCTGCATCTCCCTACAACCACCTATATGCATACTGACACCCTCATATGCCCACACATTTATAACACCTGCACATCCCTAAACCCGCACACTGACACTCATACACTTGTACACCTCTGCACCCACTCGTACAGTCACACAGCCACACATCTCTATGCCTGCACACTGACCCCTCACACATCTGCACACACACACCTGACACTCCTACACCCACATTGATATCTTCACTCTCAACTCATACACCTGTACACTCTCAAATTGTCACCCTCACTCACACCCTTACACTCCTATACTCACACTGATACCTTCATACACCCAGACAACTGCACACCTGTATACCTCTAAACTGACACTCTCACACCCACAGCTCACACCTGCACATCCTCACACTGACACCGTCACTCACACACCCACACACCCCTACACCCACATGCTGATACCCTCAATTCACATCTGCACACCCTCACATGCCCATCCACACTCACACCCCTACATCTATAGGCTGACACCCTCACATCTGCAACTCACACACCTGCACACCTTCACACCGATACTCACTTACACTTACACACTCACACCCCTACACCCACATGCTGACACTCTCAACTCACACACCTGCTCACCCTCACACTGACACCCTCACACACCCACACGCTGATACCCTCACGCCTGCAACTCACACACCTGCACACCCTGACACTAACACCCTTGCTCACCCCCCCACACCCCTACATCCATATGGTGACACCCTCATGCCCACAACTCACAAACCTGCACACCTTCACACTGATACCCTCACTCACACACCTACACACTCACAACCCTATACCTGCACACTGACACTTTCATACCCACAACTCACACACCTGTACACCCTCACACTGACACCCTCACTCACACCCCTACACCCACACGTTGACACCCTCACATGGTAATGCCCTTCCATGTGCTGAGCCAAACCAATTGCTGGCTCCAGTTACTCACAGCACATGGACCTGGAACCTAGGCGTGGTTGGTGGTGACCTGTTCAGCTCCCCCCTGCTTCCCTTCCAGATACTGCTGGGCCCTGGGTTATGGCCGGGGCAGGCTGCTGGGGAAGGTGGGTGCTGCCTTTACTCCCAGCCACGCTCTAGCTCTGTTCGTAGCGGCAGCCCAGTTCCCCAGATGAGGTGGGTGAGAAGGACAGAGGGCTTGGCCCCTTTCCTGGCTTGTGGAAGGGGGTGGTGGGGAGCACCCCAGACAGCCCTGGCCCCTAGTCTCAGCAGTGGGGTCTGACCCCATGCTCTTCTCTTTCATGCATGTGCCGCAGATCCTCCAGGCCTCCTGCCCGTTAGCCTCGGACGACGGAACTCCAGGGCCACTCTGACCACCAGGTGGGCAGTTTTCAGAGGCTGGGGTGGGGGAGGGCAGAGGCAGGGTTGGAAATCCAGGGCTGTTACGTCTGCTGTGCTAGGCCAGCCTGGAGCCAACCAGAGGGCAGGGTGTCGGCAGTCTGGGTTACAGGCACCCCCCTCTGTGCCTGCAACTGGGGACAGATGAGGGCAGCCAGACCCAATGGGGCCCCAGTGGCTCTGTTCGGCGGAGCAATGAGGCATCAGAACGTAAATCAAATGCGCCCCGCTGAAACAAGCTGTGAACAGACTGAATCTGCCGAGTGACAGAAAAATGATGTGTCATTGTCCCCTGGCTGGGCTGGGGCCCAGAGCTGGCCCCGTTGACAGTCCCAGCTCCTGCTGGCCTATGTCCACTGTAGGGGCTCCCTTCCCCCGACATGCAGTCCCTCGGAGGGCTGGACAGGAGCAAGCCCATCTGTCCAGACCCCAGGCTGTGACCTGCCCCCTCCCGGCCACCAGCACAGGCCCAGGCAGGTGGGTCTGGCCCACTTCCCTCCGGTGCTGCTGAGGAGGTAGAGGAATGGCCCGGCAGCCCGCTCCAGACAGCTTCTCCTCCACCTCCGGACTCCTGACAGACCCCACTTCCCTCCGCCAGATGGAGGGACCACAGCACGCAGCCAGGACCTGGGCTTTGAAGGCTGTCTACTCTCAACGGCTCCCTGCCTTTAGCCACGCAGACCGGCACCCAGAGGACAGGCAGGCAGCAGATGGGGCTCGCACCAGCCCCTAAGCAGTCCCTGGGACCGCTACCGTGGAGTAGATGAGACACACTCTGAGCAGAAGGCCACAGGTTGGGAGCCCAGGGCCCCTGTCCCAGGTGCTGCCTGGGCGTGCCCTCCCCTCCCCTTGGGGGGCCTTCAGCTGGGGCCCTGATGCTCTCCTGTCCTGGCAGATAAGGGAGGCTGCCAGGCCAGGTGCACTGCGCTGGATAACTTTCATATGGCCTTTCTAGCCATGGTCTTGCAATTCCCACCAACAGACTGGGTGGGACTATGCAAATAAGGTGCATGGGCCCAAAGGGATTGGAGTTTGCTGCTAATGCAAATAAAGAGCATGGCGCTGAAGTGGGGGTGGGACCATGCAAATAAGTTGTACGTAACCCTGATGAAGGGCTTGGTCAGTTTTTGCTGTCCCACTAGGCTTAAAACACGGTACCCTGGAGGTGGAAAGAGGGGGCCTCACTATCACCGAGAAGAAGAGACAGGGGGAGAGGCTGTCCTTTGGACCCAGGGTCCCTGTGCTGGGAACCTCCTGGACCCAGGAGACAGAGTGCAGCACAGGAGACGGTGAGGACAGCACGCACGGCAGCAGGAGACCAGCGGGAGGTGTGGCTGGCCCACGAGGGTAGCCTCCCGGCCTGCGGAGCGAGAGATGAGGGCCTCTGGCCAGAAGGCTGGCTGCCAGAGCGGGTGCCTCTGGGCACTTACCGGTGGAGCTAAGAGCTTGGTAATACTTGCCTGAGCAGGGCAGAGGCCAGGCTGGCCCAAGACGCCCTAGGGGCCAAGAGTCCGAGAGGGGCCTCCCTGCGGCACAGCTGAGAGGCAGCTGTCTGGATGGAACATCTATGTGCTGAATCATAACTTGTTACTTCCCTGACAAACCTCCTAATTGTGAGTACTGCCTGTGAGGTCTGTGTGGCCACTGTCACGAATTATCAGACCCAGCAGAAAAGTAGAGAGTGACATGGAAGGACGACTGGCGGGAGAACTGTTAAAAAGGTTGGAGAGAGGAGGTATGTCTGACTTCCACCTCATGGGAATCGGCCTTGGGCTGGCCCTGTGACACTCCCCCGCCCCAGCCGCCTAAGTGAAAGGTTAGATGCCTCAGCCACACCGGTTAGGGTGGAAGAACTGGCAGGAAGAGCTGTGTGTGCCTGGGGGTCAGGGCACGCTAGGCCCCTCCTTACCTGCATGGGCCGGGAACACATGTTGGTGAGCACCTCCTTCCGGGCCACAGAGTACTTGTCATCTCCAAACATGTCTGTCAGACTTCTCTAGAAACAAACCCAGGACCCTTGAGTGATAAGCAGGCAGGCTCAGGAGAGGTTCTGGGGCCCTGTTACCCACTGACCACTCGATACCTGGTGTTAGGACAGGCCCACTGTGGCCCAGCCCTGCCCAGAAGGTCACAGGGTGGGTGCAGGAGGGGCCCCACCTGGAGTTGCTCCAAGGGCCCTGGCTTGCTGCTGAGACCAGGCCAGTTGACTGGTCTGAAGAGAACCCCTCTGCCCACACTGGGAATATGGGTGAGGACAGTCTCCATCCAGTGGGATCAGAGAGCCAAGGCCATGGATTTCTGGGTCCCAAGAGGCTTAGCTCCCGGCAGGGGGCACTTCAAACCATTTACTGTAACAAACATCCCCTGGCTTCAAACAACCCCTGCCCCACACTGAAAGCCACGGGGTCCACTGCTGGCCCCAGGCTCCCTGCCCACAGCTCAGCCTTGAGTGGTCTCCCTGCATCCAGTCCTGCTAAGGGGTGTGTCTCACGGCCAGGGCCTGCCCACCTGCCCCACTGCCCGGCACTCACGTTGAGGGCCCCTGCGGAGCTGAAGTCCACAGGCAGCCCCATCTGCTCGCAGAATTCCTCCAGGTCACTGAGCATCTTTGTCTGGGGCGGGGGGTGCCGGCGCAGCAGGGCCCGCTCGGGGAAGGTGCGGTAGATCTTGTGGGCCACCGCCGCGTTGGCCAGGACCATGAGCTCCTCCACGAGCCTGTGGAGGGTGGTGCAGGCTCAGGGGACAGCCCTGCTCCCGTGGGGTTGGACTGCAAGGCTAGGCTGGTCCTCCTGCCACACAGGAAAGCCAGCACATGGACTAGGGAGCGCTCTGTTCCCCGCTGAGTTATGGTACCACCTCTCACCCCCAATCTGTCCGTATGCACACCAGTTCCTGCTGAAAAAACCCAAGCACCATAGAGCCTGGTGTAACCACTGAGACTATGGCCCCTAGCTGCCCTTCAGGTCTGGAATTGAACCCACAACTGTGGTTTCCAGCCAAACAAAGTACAGGCATGTGAGTTAAACATTTACCTCAAGTAGACACACGCCCTGGAGACAACAATCATGGGAGAAGGAAGGGCTGCTTATGCACAGGGAGATAGCTCAGGGTGCAGAAGGGTATGAAGGGATGGACACTGGGAGGAGGTAACTATGGGGAGGAAGTGGGAGGGGAGCTGCTGCATTGTAAATTTTGGTCAATGACATGAGACAAAGTATATGTGAACTGCTGTATGAAAAGTGAATTTACTCTGTAAATCTTCACCCAAATCCTAATTAAAAACAACAACAACAACAACAACAAAAACCCAAAAAACCAAGCACCAAATCTCACGAGAGCCAAGGCTGTCCTTGCTGTGGGAACTGGACATATAGCTTATCTGATCCTCACTGTTCCCCAATGTAGCAGAGGAAAAACAACCGCCTGCTTCACAGGGTGCTGGAATGACTTGTTCAAGAGCGGGCGCTGGGCCGGTCTATCCCAGGCCCTTCCATACCTGGGGGCTGTGTTCCTCTTCCCCGACGCTCCCCCATGAGGGCCAGCTCATGAACTCCCAACACGCCCTGTAGCTTCTTCACCCCCTTGCTTCCCAAGCCGTCCCACAGACCCGGCTGGAGGCCCGCCTCATTGTCCCTCCTGGGTGCTTACTGCCTGCCTCACCACTTGGCCACCACGGGAGGCCACTGCACTACAGTCACTGTTCGACTCTCTTCACTCATGTTTAGGTCTCGTCAATCGCTGAGGCGTCCCAGTCCCTGTTCCACACGTCTGGCTTGATGTTCTTGGTCACACATACATGCCATCGCAGCCTGAATGCTCCCAAAGTAGATGGTCACTTGTTTGCTAGCTCGTTCGTTCACTCATTCATTCAGCCAGTCAACTTTCAGTCACTCAACAAACATTGCTTTGTGCCAGTCACTGCCCTAGACTGTTGCTGTTATGTGCCGTCAAGTCATTTCCAACTCATAGTGACCCCTCCTTGGGTTTCTGAGGTAGTATCACTACAGAAGTAGATTGCCCCATCTTCCTTCCGAGGAGCGGCTGGTGGGTTTGAACTGCCAGCCTTCTGATTAGCAGTCAAGTGCCTTGGGCACTACGCCACCAGAGCTCCTGCCCTAGACTAGGCAACATCTATAACTTTGGGGAACCACCTGGAACCACAGTTTGCCAGTGTGGCCAGCAGGTGGCAGCATGGTTCCATAGCAGGGCCGCTGAGCGATGCAGCCTCAGGAGCTCCAGGCCAAGCGCCAGAAACACCCAAAGAACCAGCCCACTGCCACTGAGTGCATCCCAACTCCTAGTGACCTTACAGGGCAGAGCAGAACAGCCCCACAGGATCCCCAAGACTGTAAATCTTTATAGAAGCAGACCTCATCTTTTTTCAGCTGAGTGGTTGGTGGGTTCCAATCTCTGATTTCTTTGGTTAGCAGCCAAATAAATGCCTTAGCCACTGTGCCACCAGCTCCTTCATGGCAGCAAAGTAGCAGCAAAGTAGCAGGGTGGGGCTGCTTCGGCCTGACCTGTCCCCTCCCCCCTACTACAGGTCAAAGGACTGGAACCCTGGGGGGGGCTCTCCGTCCTGCAGGGGCTGCTCTCCCGTCTCACCTCTCACAGCCTTGGCTAAGTGAGGACGCCAACAGGGCAGGTGCAGGGGTGCATGCAGGCCAATGAGTAGACGCTCAGGTGGCGATGACCCCCCCCCACCAGCTGCTTCTCCAATTACTCTGCTACTTGTCCTCCCTGGACCCCACCACAGCCCTACGAGTCACCTGCAGCCTGATTAAACAAGTGAACCAAGTACAATCTTAACCTTGAACGTAAAGCCTGTCTAAGCTTCCTCAGAGGCTTACCTTGGACAGTCCCCCGGCTCCCCCTCTGTGACACAGGGATGGGAGTCCCGGAGCAGCCTGGGGGACCTTCTCGAAGACAGTCCTGAGACCTCTAGCATTACACCCAGCTGAAGGATCGTGTCACCAAATGGGGACAGGGCCAGCCAGCATGAGGGCCCCACTCCCTGGGCACTGGCAGGTGCCTACAACAGCGGTCCCTGAGACCCTCCTCAGAGCAGCAGGTGGTCGAAGGATGGATGGGAGCAGGAACACAACCTGGCCTCTGTCATCACTTGCTCCTGATGGCTGGAAGCAGTCAGGGTGCGGTCCCCTGTGGAGCGTGCCAGGAAGGGCCGGGCAAAGTCAAGTGGCCAGTGGCTGGAGCTCCACTGGATTCAGGATTCCCCTCAGAAATGGGGACAGGCCCTACAGGAGGGCGGGAACGGGCTGACCCAGGCCTGCAGCTCCTCTGGGGCTGTCAAGGGGATCCCTTCCTTAGGCTTCACTAGGTGATCCCATGGGCCAATTCCTGGGACAGGCCAGCAGGGAGCCCTCTAGAATCTCCTCCTATGAGACCTGGGACGTGGCAGGGACCTTAGAACCCAGGAACCTCTCTGAGCAGGAAAGAGCCTGACATTTAGAAACCGCGGCCCTGTGGCCCAAGGTCTCTGGGGCCCCCAGTTCAGTGTTGTCCTTGAGCCACAGGGTAGCTCTGGGCTGTGGGCTTCTCGGTCAGGCAGTGGAGCAGGTGTGACGGGGAGAGAAGCTCCTGCCAGTAGACCCTCCAGGCAGACAAGCACCCCTCAGCCCATCTCCTCGCCTCTGCAGGCACCCTCATGGGCACACAGGCCGGCTACCAACTGCAGGATGATGCCCAGAGGGGCTGGGGTGGGGAGTTTAGCAAACTGCACACCCAAAGGAAGAGGAAAAAGAGGCATTAGGCCTGCTCCCCGCTCCCAGGCCTCTTCCTGCCGGGCACCTGCCCTCAGTGCCCGCCTTCTCGCCAGGCCATGCCAGAACTGCCTGATACCTGCTCTAACAGGCGCTTGGGAATGGCTGCTGGCAAGGACCACCTTCCAGAAGAACTAGCTGAGCCCTTGGAGACGGGCCCTGGTCTTTCCTGAGCCACTGTGGCCCAGACTCTGGAGGTCCGGGCGGGCTCTGCTGTGACAGACACTGAGTGGCACGGCCAGCTGGGGGCTGCCTGGATGCAACTCCTCACATCACTTGAACCCACTGCCTTTCATCTAGCTTTCAGGGTGCAGAGCGGGTGAGGTGGCGACAGGTGTGAGGTCCCCATCCCAGGGAGGACCTGAGCAAGCCCTAAGGAATCAGAGTCTCCATCCGCCCGGCAGGTGAGGGTCATGACAGCCTACCATACGCACTCACACACACATGCCTGTGCACGGCAAGGCCATCCGCCTGTCAGGTGAGGGTCATGACAGCCTACAATACGCACTCACACACACATTCCTGTGCACGGCAAGGTCATCCGCCCGGCAGGTGAGGGTCACGACAGCCTACAATACGCACTCACACACACATTCCTGTGCACGGCAAGGCCATCCGCCCAGCAGGTAAGGGTCATGATAGCCTACAATACGTACTCACACACACATTCCTGTGCACAGCAAGGCCATCTGACCGGCAGGTAAGGGTCATGACAGCCTACAATACGCACTCACACACACATTCCTGTGCACGGCAAGGCCATCCGCCCAGCAGGTAAGGGCCATGACAGCCTACAATACGCACTCACACACATTCCTGTGCACAGTGAGGACCACTGTGGGTCACAACAGTGTTCCCCAAAGTGTGTCAGTAGATGTGTACCTAAAGAGATAAGTATTAGTATATAAGAAATGCTGGAGTTGTGTATCTTTTTAATTACAAGTTATCCCTTCACCTTGAAGATGCTAACGTGCAGCGGGACTATATAAGAGGGAGCGACTGGATGGGGTGGTTCTGGCTATTTGACGGTGGAGCCTGTTTGGGGAGCTCCTTAAAAGACAACGTCCAGGAAGGGCTGTTGTAGACACAGCAGGTGTCAGAGAGCGGCTCCAAGGGCAGTGGACGGCATCACCTGCCCCTTCTGTGAAAGACTGCCAGTCTTTGTTGCACCGGGCATGGCCATCTGGAAAGAAGCTGAGACAAGCTCGGCCGCTTGGCCTGAACCTCAGTTCTGCCACCAGCTGTGTGATTTCAGAGAAACCCCTCAACCTCTCTGACTCTCTGTTCACCTGAGAAATGAGATGGAACCTGTAAGTGCTTGGCTTCCTGCCTGTGCTGGCTGATTATCGTGCAAGCTGGCCTGCAGGCCCCAACTCTAGGACTTGGGCTGAACTCGCAGGCAAGACTTCTACAAGTTCCTTTTGTCCCCTCACCCACTCTCATCCAGCCTCATCTTTACCAGCTGGTCTCCTGCCTCGAACCCCGTTCCTGTTTCCTTCACACGGAAGCTGGGGCATTCTCCCTCAAGGGCACACCTGGCCAGCCCCTCTCCTATCGGAAGCCCCTCCATGGCAGACAGCTGCCCTTGTGACAGTTCCACCTCCTGGATGAAGTTTACGGGGCCTTTTGGGGTGTGGCCTGGGTTTATCTCTCCGCATGAAGCTCCGCCTACCCCACTCCATTCCATACACACACACACACACACACACACAAACCCAAAATCCACTGTCATCAAGTTGATTCCGACTCATGGTGACCCCTGTTGGGTTTCCGAGGCTGTAAATCTTTATGGAAGTAGATCACCCCCTCTTCCTTCCAGCGTGGCTGGTGGGTCTGAACCGTTGATTTTCTGGTTAGCAGCCAGATGCCTTATCCACTACGCCACCAGAGTTCCACTCTAGCCCCACTGAACTCCCGTGGCTTGGGGCTCTTGAT